TGAGGTGGTGGATTTAAACAATTTGGAGAATAATGGGGATAAATTATACAGTGGAGAATTGGAGAAAAGGACTGTTAGGTTACAGACTGAAGAAGAGGTACTCGGTTTTGTTAGGGACTTGGACGGACAGTGGTGTAGCAGAAGGAAGAAGAGGAAATATGTTGATGCTAGTGGATTTGGAGATATATTGCCTATTGGTTGGAAGCTCTTGCTAGCCCTACGTAGACGGGACGGTCGCGTCTGGGTTTATTGTCGTAGAATTGTAAGGTTGTTAACTTTTTCTACTAACATACTTTCGCTTGTTAATTACATGTTCGTTTATAAGCTTTTATGCATTATGATTATGCGGGTTATTGTTGTATGCTTTGAAATTGTGTAGTATGGACTGCTAACCTTGTGATGAAAATGAATGCTAATGGTTATTCTGTTGCATGTTTGTTAAGAATTAACTAGATTCACGTAGTGTTATCAAAGGTGTGTTTAAGCCCTGAAGCGAGGCTCAAAATGCGTTGAGCGCTTCCCCTCGCTTAATATGTGTTTCATTGCCGTCATCAAAGTTTTAAGACATACTTTTCCTTGTGAATGGGCATTTTCTGAAGAGGTGACGCGAAACATTGATATTTCAATTTATCATGAAACAATCAATTTTTTGTCCTTATATTTGTTTCATGCTTATGATTATTAGTATTGGACTAAACACATATATTTTTATGTTTTCTCCATTTGTGTCTTTTCTCAATAAAGATCATGCTTTATTTGCGCTTAAAGCCCCTACAAACTTTAGAGTTTTTTTGCACTTATCACTTTTGATAACACAGGATCTATGCAGCTTTTATGTGTTTCAATATCATTGCATGTGTAAGTTGAAGTACCATGAAATTTTATGTTTTTGTCGTGAAAAGTTTGAGTTCTTCAATGAGTTAGTGCATAGCTTGCTGCTGAAAAACGTTGCTAGGCCAATGCACTTTTTGTTTGATTCCTGAAAGTATATGCACTGATACAATGCATGCTATTGGGATAGCATGGCTGCAACCAGGTTTCTTCCCCAAGAACCGGGTCCATAGCTCATGGTATCCCCATCAAAGCATATTGCAGCTTAGATGTAGGAATGATAGATAGGTCCATTTGTTGAATTTTCTATGATCGTAAAGTAGGTAAAATGATTTTGTTTCATCTTGAAGATGCCAATTTTCAAATTAGTCGATGCAAGCGTTAGCAGAGATTGAAGTATTACCAGATTTATCATAATTACATAGATTGAGATAATCACTCAATTTCACATGGAACTCATTTTAGACTCATTTTAGTTGATTAATAGAAATTACTTTTTACTTGAAATCTCGAATCTCCTTTAATAAGCTCCTGCACAGCTTGGTGCAACTAAATGTTGTTCTAACTGTAAGATGTTTACTGCCCTTCTCTTGTTTTGTGGCGAAGTCCAGTATTTTCTTCTTACTTGGCATTTTTTGTGTTAGCCCTACTGGTCAGCAGTTCATATCATGCAAAGAGGCTTCATCATACTTGCGGTCCCATTTTTTGTCTGGTGAAGCAAACCAGCCAACTCAGCAGGTTGATGATACTGTTGCTAAAAGTATGAGTAACTTCCACAGTGATACCAGTTTGGTTTTGTCAACAGACATCCAAGAAAATCCTCATTCTCTTCAAAAAGGTGACATGGCAAAGCATAATGTAGTTGCACATGCAGTTGTACCCAGTTCATCTACTCTACACCTACATCTGAGTGATGTTTGCTTGATGGAGATGGATAATCTCCCTGAGGTTAAAGTTCAAGACATTTTTGAATGTTATAAATGTAAATTGACGTTTGAAGAAAAGAATGCATATTTGCAGCATCTATTCTCATTTCACCAGCGGACCACAAGAAGGTACAGGGTTGGTCCATCTGTTGGTGATGGGGTCATAATTAGAGATGGAAAATATGAATGCCAATTCTGCCATAAGGTATTTGAAGAACGGCGTAGTTACAATGGTCATGTAGGAGTCCACGTGAGAAACAATGCAAGGGGAACTGTGGATATAGCTGCTGCTGTTGCTGCAGACAAGGGTGTTCAGTCCCCACATCATGATGGGTTGCTTTCAAGGACATGTAAAATGGATGCTTTAATTGAAATTGCCCAAAATGCAGTTGTAGAAACTTCTAGTGCTAGACCTGCGACCAAGGACAGTAGCATGCCATCTAGTACTTCAACGGACTTGGATGGAAATATGTCTACCAACATTGACCAAGTTGCAAGGTCAACCACTGATATTGGATTGTCAGATACCAAGGAATTTATGACTGAAACATGTCTTGAACAAGGCAGAAATCAGCCTGATTATACCTGCGTGCAAGTGACTAAAGATAAGAGTAGTGAGATTTTGGCCAACAAGTTCAATCTGAGAGTGATCTCAACCAATGATTCTGAGCAGCCTGAGGGTGATGATGCGAAGAAGGCTGGAAGCAACAAGGTAGTGCAGGGCCCGGGAAACAAACAGACAAAAGAAAATGATGATGTTCGACCTGAGACCATGGAACTAACTTTTCAGGAAATCGCTAGTCAGAATGCATTAACTAGCTCTTCAGTCTCTATGGTGCAGTCGTTGCATAATAATTTTGAGCACTCTGAGGAAGGTGTCGGGAAGAAGGATGGAACTGATAATGTAGCAGTGGGTAAGGGAAACAGCCTGACTAAAGCAAATGATGTCGAATTAGAAACTATGGAACTGACTTTCCAGGATGATGCTACTCTGGATGAGTTAACCAATTTCTCGCTGTCTATGGTGCAACCATCTCATAGTGCTTTTGAGCATCCTGAGAGTGATGACATGAAGAAGGATGGGAATAACCAGCAAGCAGTTTGTCCTGGGTACAGCCTGACTAAAGCAAATAATGATTTGGAATCTGAGACTATGGAGTTCATTCTTCAGCAAAATGCTATTCGAGATGGACTAGCAGGCTTTTCAGAGCCTATGGTGCAATCATTCCACAACTCTACTGGCATTCTTTCAGGATCTAGTAAGGTAAAAATGCTTTTTCTGCATCTGTGGAGGTAATACATTTATCTCATAGTTGCTGACGACGAACTTGTTCTTTGTTTTTATCCTGTAAAAAATGCATCAAGCAATGCTCAAACAATTTTTCCTCCTTCTCTGAGATCCTGACAACTAATCAACTTTGTTGATTCGTGACCATTTTGTATTTTTCAAAACTTAATTTGGTTATCTTGCCTAGGATTTTTTGTATTAGGGCCTTTTTTCGTCTTTTCTTCATCTCCAACATAAGTGAGAAAGAAAAATGCTATGACTTGGTTATCATACAATTTCAGTTCAACTTGGCCAATGCTATGATGTGCTTACTTCAATCTGTCTGGAAACAAAATATATAGATTGAAGATAAGGGTGTCCAAAATCTGTATTTGTCGGGCTTACAACCATTACATCCAGAAACAAGGTTTTAAAGTTGAATAGCTCCTCTACTCTTAGGGTTTACCAAGCCTCTAAATACATTCCTTGTCTGATCAACATTGGATACTGTTACTGCTCATTGATAACGCAACCTACCTGATGCACCAAGGAAGAAGCCTTTTTATTCGCCAGTTTATCTTCATTAGGAATCATTTAGATGTTAAAACTTTTTGTCCCACTCATTGTAGCATCTACTTAAGTAGTGAACATATTACTATCCTCTTGTGTTGCTTACGTAAATCTAAACTTTTGTGTTCTTAGTTCCACTATCCTGACTGTTTGAGAGGATTTAATTCTTTGAGAATTATCGCTGTTATTGGCAATTTCAAATGTGCAGATTGCTGTTTTGTTGGGTTTTTATGCAGCAAGGTTTTGAATATTAGCTTATTGCAAGATTATTCTGTTTTATAGATACTATAACTGCTCATTCTTATTCAACTAATTCCCTAATTTCACGGGGTAGTAATTTATTTTTCCTAAAACCTCTTCAGGACAATGACGAAGTTTCTGCTATTGGTCAGAATCTGGATAATGGAACAGGATTTGAGGAGCTTAGGCTGGATGAGATAGACCATTTTGAATACAGCTTTGATGGTGGTCATGAATCTTCATCTTTACCCGCAACTTCTATTGGATTGGGTAATGATGCAAGGATGAAAGAGGCTTTTGCATCGGTTGGATTTGATTCTGGAGGAATCATCTTAAACATGGAAGAATTGAATCAACTTTCAACAGTATGTGTGTGGTGCAGAGTAGAATTCAAGCTTGAAGCTTATGATACCGAAGCTCATTCAGATTCAATTGGATTTATGTGTCCAGACTGCAAGGCTAAAATATCTGGACATCTGGAAAGTGTGTTTCCTTGAGTCCTCATGGTTTTTGATTTCCACTGGGCCATCTTGTGGTGCTTGCTGCTCAATGTCCTGATACACATGGTAATCCCTTAACTTGCTTAAGTTCTAGGTGCAATCAGTAACGAACAAATATTTTTGCTGCTACTTTCCTTCTTCACAAGTCTCAACTGTGAAAAATTAGCATGCAGCGAGTTTTTCTTGCTAAAATACTACACTGAATTAGCTTGTTCTTTGGCAAGCTTATTTACTGACTCAACCTTTATCATCTTAATTACAGAAGATGAAGGTCTATTTTCCGCCTATAGAGATGGATGTTACAAAGCATGCATGTGTTCTCTTCTTAGGAGAGTTTTAGCTGGTATACTTAGTTCACTGTAAATTCATCTATGGAATAGTGTAGTTTGTAATATTCCTCTTTATCGTATGTTAAATTACAGAAGATTGGCCTTCTATGTATGAAACTGAACAGTGTATATTCTGCTTATATGTGTATTATCTGTTTATGTATGTCACTGATTAGCTCTATGAGCCTCTTTATAATCTAGGCATCATCAATGCCATTTTCTAATGTAGGCTTTTATATTGCGTTATCCTTCGATGATGCCTTAAATTCTGTGTCTCCATTTACTAGACTTGAGAACAGTTGTATGTAGATGAACAGAACGAGCAAAGGGGAGACAGTATTTCAGTCCACTTGTGAAGTTGAGCATCTTGTTCGATCTCCTCCATTTATAAAAGTAAAAGGAACATTAAAAGTAAGAAATTTGGCTGTGGAAAGATCCTTTCCTTTTCCCCCATTCCACTCTATTCGTCGTCCTTTTGGACAGAAGAAGAGAAGTGCTATGTTTTTGTGAATGTTCAAAACTAAAGGGGCACAGTATTTCAGTCCACTTATACATTTGCATATGTTATTGAGCATGTGAGAATCTTGATGATCATAAAGAGGAAGGGCTTTCTGGGGAATGCTTTATATTTTCTGAAGGGATTATATTATGTTATGAGAAGCATGTTTACAATTGTGCTTTAGATATAAGCTAGAATAAAGTAGCCTTTTTGATCATTTGTTCTACCTTTTGATTCTTCACGTTAAATCCCTAAAATATTCCTTCCAGTATTCATAAACATAATTATATCTTTTTAAGCATATTTAGTATACCAGAAGAGAGTGAAATTCACCTATATATGAAGCAGAACAAAGCACTTTATTCCTTTTATATGTAAACTTGGTGAAATAGACATCCGTTCAATCTTACAGCAGCTAGTCGTATGAGCATGAGCTCAATGTTATGTCAAACTTAAATCATTTTCGTCATAGGATGTCAACTTCAATCAATTTCTTCGTACTTGGATCCAATTAATCGACAAATCATGGACAGAAAAAGACCAAGTCTAAAGATAACTTGTTCATTTTTCACTTCAAGGCAAGGTTTAGAATATGCTACTGTTCTAAGCCACTCTATGTAGGAATATTTACTTTCCAAAAAGAAGATGGAAAAAGGAAAGTTTCATCCCTTGCTTCTGTACTGGCATCTTCTTCTAGTTCACACATCACATTATAATTGTCGATTGAATTTCAATGATATAGAAATTCAGGGACAAGCTTGATTGAGAATCAACCAAAATTAAAAAGAAAAATTAGAAAATGACTCACTTTTGGTTTAGTGGAACAACTCATGTTCACATCTTGATAAATGTTTATGAATATCTTCCTGCTTTTACTTATTAATTAGTTAGAAGAACATTGATCAATTTCACATAATTTCAATAAGTTGTGCATTTAGTGAAGTGACTTGTCCTAGTGCTTACTTATTGTCTGCTGACTTTACTTACTGAGGCCTAAGTAGAACTAGTTTATCCCTTTGTGATGTATATGGTATGTCAAAAATGTCGACAGCAACTGCCATTGCCACCACATAGTAAGCTATTTCGTTGTGCGTGTGGCAATATGATTCCACTAGGCAATAGTGAGAGGTCACTGCCAATCCAAGAACATGGTAGATTCAGTTCTAAAATGAGAAGATTCAGAGATAAATTTAGGAAAAACAGTTCAAGAGAGAACAGCCGATCTCCTTCTCCGAGTGTTAGTCCACGTTTGTCTCTTATTTTTACAAAGCCAGCACCAAGTGGGAAGCGTGCACTTCTTTGTGGGGTGACTTACAAGAAGGAGAAATTCAGACTTAGAGGAACACTGCATGATGTACACAGCATGAGTGATTTGCTCGTTCGGAAATTTAACTTTACAAATGACTCTATTCTCATTCTAGCAGGTAATTTCAGTTTCTCTATTGACAGTATCACTTGAAATTATGAATTCAGGATCTATGACTTGTTGAGATTTTTGTAGTTTTATACACTCATATATCAGTAAATGTGGTTCAGTAGTTAAAAAAAAAACTAATGGCTGAAGGCATTAAATTTAACTTTTTGATCTGCCTGAGTAAGAAATATATATTGAATGAAACGATTTCTGCAGAAGAAGAGGCATTTAAACCTCCAACTAGGAGAAACATCCTGCAGGCTTTCAAGTGGTTGATGGAAGACCTTAAATCAGGTGACTCGTTGGTGTTCTACTTCTCAGGACATGGCTTACGACAACCTGATTTTTGTGAAGATGAACTAGATGGTTTCGATGAAACAATCTGTCCTCTTGACTTTAGGACTAATGGCATGATCAGCGATAATGACATCAATGATATTCTTGTTAAACCACTGCTTCCAGGTGTTACACTTCATGCTATTGTTGACGCTTGTCATAGTGGAACTGTTCTTGACTTACCTTGGGTATACAAAGAGTATGTTCTTACCATCCAAAAGTTATCATCTTCAGAATCATTTTGAAATAAGAGAATCTTATGTCAGTTATTTGAATTTTAACAGAAATAGATGGGTTGATAACAGACCCCCATCTGGTGCTAACAAGGGTACGAGGGGTGGTATGGTCTTCGGTTTCAGTGCTTGCAGGGATAATCAACTAGCTGCAGATACCTCTGTATTATTTTTTCAATCCTTTGATTGTTTTTTTTAATATGATTGATCTATATATTCTATCCTCAACTACTATTGTATGAATATAATGCAGGCTTTCTCTGCTGAAAAAACTATGATGGGTGCCATGACTTACACATTTATTAAAGCTATCTGGGAAATTCCAGATATAACATACCAAGGATTACTTGATAATATGCATAAGGCAATTGAAAATGTTAACGAAGCTAGATGTCCACTGTTGAAGATATTTCAACGCAAGATAGACCAGGTAACTTAAATTCATTCTCGAAATCACACTAATGCTATTGTTCTTAGGATTTGGTAACTTATATGACAATTTAAACTAGTTTTCACACAATCAGTGCTAGGAGAAGGCCTCTTACTTGTTTTCCAGGTTACTAATTCCGCTTATTATAAATTAGTGTAAAATAAATCACTCCTACATTGTTAGCATTTAAAAGTTAAAACTAGTTATGGACCTCATCTGAACTAAAAGTTTTCAGGCAAATGTCTAGAAATTGGAAAAACTTGTGTTGTATCTCCTGAGTGTTACACAGAATGTTTTTATTTAGTACAGTAAATGCATATACCTCTAGTATTTAAAAGCACGATACTCTCATAAACCTTGCAGGAACCGGTGTTATCATCTTCTGAAAAATTCAACACTGACATAAGGTTCAAGCTCTAATTTCTGCTGCAGAAAGACGAATTTGGACCTAGATATTTCCAGTTCCATCATAAAATGCGGGCGCGGGCGCTGCTAGTTTTATACTCGTCTCTTGTAATTGCTTCCGTTTCTTTATCTTCCTCGAAAATACGATCCAAAGATTTGTATCAAACTCTCTTTGGCATTTTTCTATGCTCATTCTGCCTATATAATTTGTATCTATATCTCTGAGTTAATAATTGCAAGTTTTCAAATAAGAAATTGTGTTCTGATGGTGTCCTTTCCAAGTCTCTAGCGGGGTATTAACTAATATTTATCGTAAGTTTTTTTTTTTTTCCATGTATAAGCATATAGACAAATTACTTCTCAGATGAGGCAATTGAAAATTACAGTAGTTGATTACAACATCAAATAAGCTTCTAAATTGTTAATTTTGAAATTATGAAAATTTTCTATATCTATAATTTTGAAATTATAGAATTTCAAGTTCCAAAATTACAAACAAAGAATTTCAAAATTATAGATATAGAAAATTGCTTAATTACAAACAGAGAAATTTGTTCTTATTTTATTAGGTGCCTTCATTAAACTACACATGTATTTAGTGCCTTCATATAAAACTTCATTAATTTTGTCGTTCCTTGGAATCCCCTTGTGATATAAACTTGATAATTATGATATTTGTGTAAGTCTTTGTCGAAAATATGTAATTTAATTCCTGCGTTGTTATTCTATATTATTTTATTCAACTCTCTCCATATGATGTTTGACAAAAAAAAAAAATTAACTTTAAAATTTTATTTGTCACATAAATTGAAAGAGTGAAAATAACGCTATAATATATATTATTAGTCATAATAATTAATAATATATGATATTAAAAAATATATTAACGTTTGTTTGAATTTCAAATTTTACATGTGTTACATAAATTAACAATATTATTTGACAATTACATTTAAATTAGTAAATTACAACAATTTAATTTTGTTTTTGTTTTTTAAATAACATATTAAAAATTTGATTAAATCTTAAAATTGCATGTACCGAATAAATTGAACAATTGAAAATTACTTTTAAAGCATTATAAATCAAATGTATAATACAGTGATTCAAAAATACTTAAAATTTAACTTGAAAATTACTTTAAAATATTATAAATCATAATAGATAATACAGTAACTTAAATTACTATAAAGGTATTATAAATTATAATAAATAATACAATTAATTAAATTACTTAAAATTCAACAACTTAAACATATTTTTAAAATATATTAAAATTTTGGTTAATTATCAAAATTTTACATGCGTCATATAATTGAGACATAGGAAGTCACATATAATTTTATAAAAATTACTTTGAAAGTAATATAAAGTACAATAAGTAACAACTTAAAGTATTTAAAAATTTGATTGACTTTGTCAATTTCATATGTGCCACAAATTAAATCAAATAAAGTAATATATATTTGATCCGTGCTTACCCATGTGACTGTAACTAGTTAAATTAAATAGATGAGAATACGATACCTCTAGAAGGAAGCTCAAATTAGTGCATATTATTTTTCTCGTTATGTATCGAATAAGATGGAGATCACATATTCATTTTCCTAGTTGCTTCCAATATTAATTTTCTTGCGATTAAAGATGAAACACAATGATTAAAAAAATATGATTTTCTGTAATTTAAAAAATTGGATTCTCAAAAATAATTATTAGTACTTACTGAAACACCAATTTGATCCTTTTGACCAGAAATGACGATTCCCACTATAAAAATTAGCATCCGATTCAACCAGCAAATTGGAATTTGTCTTCTCAAACTATCATCCCTTCCGATACTCTCTGATATGCTAAAGAGAGGTAAAGTACACCGCTGTAAAAAGAAAATTTCATGGTTATGAAATAATATAATGCCCAATCAAGAAAATTAAAAGAGAATAAAGCTTTTTCATTTTGCTGATTTGACATACAAAGGCACAAGGAGATAGCCACTTGACATGGGGCAAATGATGCTGCGTTATGAATATTGATATCAGAGAAGTTTTTTTATTTAAATCGACTTTATTTTTATTCTTTTTTGGGAAGATCCTAGAAAAGTAAATAGGTATTAAACCTACGATTGTAAATTAAGATCGAATTAATTCTGTTGGGTTCTTAATGCCCACCCACTTTGTTAGATATTGAACTTAGTTTTTAGTTTATTGTACTAAAATCATAAATTTGATTTTTGAAATAATCAAGTAACTCATTTATGAAAAATGTTAAAATTCAATTTGAATCGTCAATTCATTTTATAGTATCAACCCAATATCACTTTAGATTTTTTTTAAAAATGTATGTTGAGTTGATGTATGCTGTTGTTTTTTGTTGAGTTGCTAATGTATAGTTATACTAACTGATTATTATGTAAACGCGACAACCTACATTTTTTAATATTTTAATATTATATAGGCATAATTGATTTACATTTTCAATATAAAAAGTCAACTTTATAAATTTTGGTAACTGAAAGTTGAATTATGTAAAATTTCCCCGTATACAGGAGCAAATACACTGTTAGAATCACGATTCATCTTAATCAAGTAGTTTTAGCTCAAATTTTGTATGCGTGTTAATAGATTCACTAAATAAGCACAAGTAATATTAAATGTTTAGGACCCATTTGGTAAGAAGTATTAATCAAAATAATTCATGGATTAAAATATAGTTCAACAAAAACATTGTTTGATTACTTTATTTAACCTAATCCATGGATTAGTTATACCTCATACAAGGTCTTATTTTATCCCTAGAAAAGGGAGGGAGAGATAGCTAATCCAAGATTTAGCAATCCTTGGATAAGATCCCTTAAATGACTAAATTATCCCCAAAGATTTTTTCCTAATTTTTTTTTGTAATTCATGTTCTTTTTTTATTTATATGAAAATATTTATAGATGTTCGTTTAATTCTCCAAATTTATTCCATGTAATTTGATGATTTCACAAACTAATATTTTTTTCTCCATGTTTGAGTTGTTCTATTGGGTTGATTTTTTTGTTTTTAAATGTAGTTTGTCAATTGACCACGTGAACTATTTTTTTTTTTATTTTTAAAATAAGCTAAGCGTATTTGAACAATTTAAGTAGCCTTAAATTCATATTAAGTTCAAAGTATATTTGACCAACAAAAAATTAGAAATATACCATGTGACATATCACACCTCAAAATTAATAATATTTTTATATTTTTTTTAATATTTAACTTGACTAGTTAAATGAAACATGCATAATCTCACAATAACTAAGGGTATAATAGGAAATAAATTTTTTCTAAAGTTTTAAACCAAACATAAGACTAGGTAGGAAATAATGAACCAAACACTTGCTAAAAAATAGTTCCTACACTACCAATTCATGCATTACTAATCCCTACATTATGCATCTTTGTACCAAACGATCCCTTAAAGTATTGTAGTATATATTTTTAAATTCGGACTCATAAAAATTTAAATCATGCATATTCACCTGTGTCATATATAAATGCCTTCCATATGTATATTGATTGATCATCTCAACTCTCAAGTAGTCAATCCACTTTGATCACCCTCCATACAATGGACAGCAGGAGATGCAAATGCCAGTGGTGTGGGATGAAGATAGCAGCTCCCATTGGAGCACAAACAGCTACCTGTCCGAGGTGCCAATCTGTGACACAACTCCAACCTGCAAGAAACCATGGCTTTGCTAATTTTCCCACTGCCAATAACAATATGAGCCCAGCTTTTCCATCAAGGCCAGGAAGGATGTGTGCAAATGCTAATAATTTTCAGCCTCAACAATTCAACCGCCCTATGTCACCACAGATCAATAATATCCGACCTCCTGCAGTACATGGACGAAAAAGAGCGGTTCTGTGCGGAATCACTTACCGTGGCCATCCAAAGAGTCTGAAGGGAAGCATTAATGATGTTTTATCCATGAGATATTTTCTGGTTGAGAAGTTGGGATTCCCAAATGCATCAGTACTTGTCCTTACGGGTATGTATAATGTAATTAATCGCCACGACTAGAACACAAATGCTTATAATTAGCCTTCATCTAATATGAAATACACAAAATTTGCAGAGGATGAGAAAGATCCATACAAATACCCAACGAAGGCCAATATCAGATCAGCCTTACGTTGGCTTGTTCAAGGCTGTCAGCCAGGAGATTCACTAGTGTTCCACTACTCTGGCCATGGCACACGAGTACGAGACCATGATGGTGATGAGATTGATGGGCACGACGAATCACTATGCCCTGTTGATTTTGAGACAGAAGGGAGGATACTAGATGATGAGATCAATAATACCATTGTCAGGCCCTTACCCCGCGGAGCCACACTTCATGGAATAATTGATACATGCTTTAGTGGAACTTTCCTAGATTTGCCCTTTTTGTGCAGAATAAACAGGTTATTCAGAAACTAACCGTTTTGACACTTTGATCAATGCAATGAAACATCATATTAAGCTATAGTAAAAGCGGTATGTCAAAATGTTTTGAAGCAGGGCAGGATACTTTATGTGGGAGGACCATCGGATCCGCTCATACAAAGGTACTAACGGTGGAATAGCAATCTCTATCAGTGCCTGTGACGACCATCAAAATTCTGGAGATACAACGGTTAGTATTTGTAAATAACTATGCACCAAACTCCAAGTGTAAACCCAACAACAATAGCTATAACCCTAACTAGTTTGTATTGCACGTATAGGCCTTTTACTTCTACTGTGTTGTGTTATGTACTAAGCTGCATGGATTTCACTTTTAAGATCTTCAATCATCAGAATGTCGCACCTTGGGTTCCTGCAGGCTTTCACAGGCTTTCCAACAGGTGCCCTGACTTATAGTTTCATCCAAACATTGGAGCAACAGACTAAATTGACTTACGGACGCTTACTCATGAGTATGCAGAAGAAGATTCATGAAGCACAGAACGGCATAGGCCTTGATGGTGAAAATGAAACTCAGGTACGCTTCTATGAGAATCAAAGAATTTCACTGCAGCTTTGCATCATCATACGTACTTGTCTAATGCATTTTATTGGTCTTGCCCAGGAGCCCCAACTATCCTCATCTGAGCAGTTTGATATTCACTCGAAGATGGTGGCTATATAGGAACTTAAAGTATCCAACTCCAGCCCGAGTACAACTTCCCTGGCATAATAAACTTGTTGTACTAATAAAATTTGTAATAAATTCAACAGTTTGTTTTACCATCGCTTGTAGATTCACTCATATAGTATTGTTCTGGTGTGAATCTTGGTCATATATTTTCGTTATGTAAACTATATAGCAGTAACACTGAATAAACTTCCAGATGGAAATTTGCTAAGATGGTGTGGTTGGTCACATCAGTTATGTCCTGTATTTGGTTTTCTTTCCATATCCATCTATAACACGAATCATATCAAAATAATCTCTCTATAGAAGACGTGCAGTGTGATTTTTTCGTATATCAAAAGCCAATTTTATTGTTGACGGTGTATTTGAAAAGATTGATGATGAAGAACTCTGTATAATCAGATAAATTTGCAGGGCACTTCACACTTAAAACTGACAGATAAAAATGTTTTTCTTCCTCGTTAATCGATAACAGAACCATATTATCTGTCAAAACCCTAATAGAAGATACTGCAGCACTCTAACCCTATTATATGGCACAATGCCTGATTTTATTTTTGTATAACAAGATTAAATTGAATGGGCAGCTCCAACAGTTGCCTGATAGAGTCAGTAGAGCATAACTAGTGGAAGAAAACTAATCAACTCAATTTGCAGTATATATAAACACTATCAAACATGGCCATGCTTTTGACATATAAATTGAATAATCACTTGCTCGAAAAAACTAGGAAACCATGACATCAGTTTGAACCTTTATAAGTTATGACTTCAGGAGTTTCAAATTCCATGAAATTTCAGAAATCCAGCACATTCTACTTGTCAAATGTAACAAACGCAATAATAACACTAACTCAATTAAACTTCAAACTACCTACAAATCTATTTGGGAATTTAAGAACTAGATGAAAATTGAAGAACACAATTAGAAGAAAGGTACTCTTGATTGATCAAAGTAAGTCATTATTAAAATCAATCTATCAAAATAATATTTTTTTTTGGTATTTTACAATTAGTATTAATGTGGTTCTCGGTAACGTTTTAGATAATATTTTATTAAAATTTTTTTAAAAATCTGACATAAAATGTTATTGTCAGTAACGTTTTATATTTCGTTACTCTGAGGCACGTTTTACAGTTAAAACGTGACTCACAATAACGTTTCTCTACAATGATTAAAAATTAAAATTCAATCTCGTACATGCCTCATTCAACTTTATATATAAATTTCTCTCATCTTCTCTTTTCATACATAGATAATATTTTTGCAAGAAAAAAGAGAGTGGGGAGGGATTTTCTACGATATCAATCAATTTCTTTTTTTAATAGTTGTCTTGCTCACTCATTGCATCAATATTAATTCAATAACTTCTTTATTGATATTCTAATATTTATTAATCATAAGAAAGCGATTGGTCTAATATTCAGAAGGAATAGTTACCTAGGCTAGAAGATGATATCTCATATGATTTATTCACAAATTTTTAAATTGAAATGAAACAAGACAAGCTCCAATTTTTTTCAAAGTCTTCCTCACGTTTTTTTTCTTTTGCTTAAAAAGGTATTGTCTATGTATAAAGAGAAAGAAAAGAGAAAATCGTATATATATTTCAAGTGAAGGTATGTACAAAATATATCTATCCATTTTAATAGTGGAAATTTGAATAATGAATGAAGCATGTACAAGATTGAATTTCAATTTTCAACCATTTCAGAGAAACGTTACTGTGAGTCACGTTTTAGCTGTAAAACGTGATTCAGAGAAACGAATTATAAAACGCTACTGACAATAATATCTTATGTCTGATCACTTTGTCAAATTTTTGTCTTTTTGTCATTGAATTTTTTTGAATAAAATATTACCTAAAATGTTACTGAGAACCACGTTTATACTAATTTTATAAAATTTCAAAAGAAACATATTATCTTGGTAAATTGATTTTAATATTGACCTACTTCGATCAAAAATTCAGAAGAAAGGAGCTGAGAAGTGATTATAGGATAAAACATTTTTCTCAACCATTTGATAAATCCTAATTAACATATCACTACTTGTTTGATGGAATCGATTCATGCTCACTACTCAATTCAAATTTCAAATTAACTTGGTCTAATTGCTCATTCTAGACCCAATAGCTATTATCGGTCCAATAACTATTTGTATGATCTTAATATTCACATTAGGCTAAACTTGATTCGTCAAAAGGGTAACATTTTTCTTTCAAAAAAC